TCTCTAAGGAAACTCTTCACACATTATTATTCATCCTGCTGAAAAATGAAAACCCACAATCAAGAAATAGAAATATAACCTGAAAGTTGTAAACTCACCACAGAATTTATGTTTTACGTTGCAATTAAGTAGTCAAAGTATAATTTTAAATATATTCAGATAGTAGCCAGTAGTAAAATCCTGGACTCAGGTTTTGTCCTATTTACAACTCATCAGTTAAAAGTGTCTGAGTCTCAATATTACAATTATACACTGAGACTGAAAATTAAAACCTAAATTATATCTGTATATCAACATCTGAAGAATTCTACACCTTTCAAATATATTTAAAGTTAAATCCAATTAAACACACTAAATGTACCGAAGTAAATGATTGGTTTACAGATGTCTTTTTAAAAAAATGAACATTCACTTGTCTTTAAACCAAATTGAAATGAAAAAAAATGGAAACAAATTATCTGGTAGCAAATCGAAAAGAAGACAGAGTAAATTATGGACGCTGTAACTGAGTAATTATAAATATTCTAAAAATTACCAGAATGTCAACTTTATATAACAATATGCATAAATAATATGTTTCATACAAAATACTCTGATATATATATATATATATATATATATATATAAGTATAGTTGTCGTGGATATTATTTGGTGTGATTGATCAATAAAGACAATCAATTCAAATACATTATAGTTTTTTTGTGTTTAAAATATGGTTAGTGAGCTATACATTACATAAACAGAAACTAATATTTTAGTTTAAATATCCTTTAACTTTTATTTATAATCTATAAAATTAGTAGAAAATCTAATTTTTATGATTATGAACTTGAAAATAGAAAATGAATTATCTGACATTTCGTTATCATTTCCAAATACCAACTTCATAAATTGTATCTTTCAGCATTTTAAATACATTTTTTATGAATATTCAGAATAGATAATATTTCTGTGGTATGATTAGCTAAAAAGAGAAAAGAATATTATTTTAAGTGTATTATTTCTATGTATTTCATTATAAATACATTTTGAACATTATCTGTCAAGTAAAGATGAATAGTGGATAGCAGTGGGATCCAGAACGCACGTTTCGTTTTATTTTGGACTCTTCAGTTGGATAATACCTGCATCTCAAAGTTGATGTTCACTCTGAGACTGGAACTCAGTACCGTTCGCTTTAAATGCCATCGCGTTATCCACTTAACTACTGAGTCCTGATAGCCACTTGCTTGTGCGAAAGGGTGAAATTTTAAATTCTCTTGACGTCATTTACTTGTATATTGTATTAACATGTTATTTTACGGATAAATTTTATCAGTATTAATTTCAAACTGTCTGTTATAAATAAGTTACTGAGAATATTCATCAAATGACAAATACATTCAGATATCATCTATTTTAATTGGATTAATATTGAAGTTATTCATTTGAATAAGAATATTTTAGTTAAATATTTATATACATTCTGTCAAGTAATATAATACTACCAACATATTTTTAATTATTAAATGAATTAAACTCTTCAGTAAAAGTTATATTGATTTTTCACAAAATATATTTAAGTGTATTAACTTGGGTCCTAAGTAAAAAAGTGACTTGTTCAAACCTATTCTTTGATTGACTGCACATAATATTCTTGCATTGTTCCTATGTGTTATTTAAACTTGGATTAATTATAATTTGATCTCTGTATTCTCTGAAGAAGTGGCGTACATTGAGTCACGAAAAATCAGAAAATCTCATTTTTCTACTCATTGGGATACTACAAAATATATTATTTTATTTATATCTATAAAATTATTGTTTACTATAAAACCAGATTAAACAGTAGTGTAATAGCAATAAAACTATTGATTATCTGTAAATTATTGATTATTATAATTAGCACCAATAAAAATGAAAGTGGATACACGCTAATAATGAGTTGACTTAAGTATATATTCCATTCCCATCATTTCGAAGAAACCCAAAAATAGTAGGATATTTAAAATCTATTAAATCAAATGATTATTTTCATATATATATTTAACAAGGTGAACCAAATCCTAATTTTATTAAAAATGTACCATATCTTTGAAAATGTAGTATTGACTTGTCAATTTTAACATGAATTTAAATTGTAATGATAATTAGTTTTTTCTAATATTACTCTAATGGTTAATGCTAGGTTTCGGGTTATTATATTAATCACCTTACGTTACTCAATATTTACATATCAAAGTATTTTAGTAGTAAGTAATATTGTGGTGTTTGCTACTGATGTCAACAGATATAAGTAGTATGTATAATCAATTGAAAGTGAAATACCTGAAAACAAAAGGTTAAGAAGATCAAAGAAAAGTGAATGAGAACAAAGAATGATTAGTGTGGAAACTTAGGAACACTGAAATCTGAGACGACTGACTGATATTTTGCAAATGATATATTTACTGTATTGTTCTCAGATTTTACCAACATGTTCTGTAATTTAGTATTCACATTCATTCTATTGTCCTCACATATAGGTTCCAAGAAGACTGAGTTTATTTTAGATTATTCAAACTACAGATAATTCGTAAAAGTACTCCGTTAGTTTCTGACAAAATTTTATTTGGAATTAGTAGGTCATCTATTTCATCCATACAATGATGAAAAATCGTTTTAGACTATAAATATAGCCAGAACAAGAGAATTGTTTTGCTTTTGAAAATAAAAGTATTCCGATAAATCGATACATCATCCGATTATCTGTTTCATATACTTCGTTATTTTCACCCTGCCCTGGACAATATTAACTCAAAAAAGACTTTTCATCTAGTATTAACTAAATCAAATTGATAATATACCGGAAGGAAGACGATTGAGTAAATCACAAAAATAATATGAAACAATGGCATCATATTCATGATATGTAATAAAAGTGAAATGAATAGAAGGCAAAATAAATGGATATGTTGAACTGAATAAATTTAGGTAAACATTTTTGTTTTAGAAATTCGTAAAGTAACTTTGCTTGTTAAAAAAAATTTCATGACAAATCAATAGATTAAATTTTTGGAAAATGAGGATTTCTTCTGAGATAATTTTATCCATATTATAAGTATAACATAGTGAGCTCTTAAACCCTGTAACGAGAAATAGAAATAAAAGAGTATGTTCCTATGATGAGTCATTTATATTTGAAATATATACTTTGAGTTGCTTCATTATACAATCATCTAATGTTTGTTAATTCCATGAGTTCTTATCATTAAATCAATGTTCTGGAACGTTCCTTCCCAAACTTTATTTATCCGAAACAAAGTTTATATGATTTTATTAACTTTATTAAAGTCTTCGCTACATCATGGTACATATATTCATCCTTAATTACCCTGTCATATATAAGTATGTCAATATCTGTAATAGAGGTAATTTTCAAATATTTTAGGTTATAAACACCTGATAGGAATCAAACGAAATAAAATGAATTCATATTATTCTGCACCAATCTTCGTTCTTGCTTTCTTTAAGATAATAAAGGAAACAATGTGTATAAAATTTGAAGGGTAATTATCTTACGAATTATAGTAATTATAATGTTTTTAATGAAATAAATAGGTAAATTACTTGTCTGATGTAGTATATCATCAACAATGAACGCAGTATATCACTTCAATGAATGGTGAATACTATACTATAATAAAAATTAGTCAATTATTTTCACAAAATCTTTTCTGGGGGTAAATAAATATCTGTATGCATATATCCTGCAAAAAATGTTATTCTTATTTCATTTAAAGAAGTGACTTTATCCTTGAATGGAATAGTATTGAAAATAATGTTCTGTTATTATTGATATTTGAGCTACTCGGTAGAATCTATGATTTTAAAAGTCTTTGTTAACTTAAAGCTTCATTTACAGATAAGGCATATTAAATATCAAACATAAATCAAGATTCTTCAGCGATAGGAACAATTTTTTTTGTTGCTTTGTGATATAGTTACATATGATTTACAGTAAAACATAATCAATTATATGATATCGCCTAAATTTGAACGTATATCATTCTGATCCTTATTTTGTGAATACAGCCATTGAAAATCATGAAAATAAATGAGAGATTTCTTATGATATATCTCAAAATACATTGAGTACTCTAGATGACAACCACAATAACATCAATTAATGTTTTGATTATTTTAATTCTGTAAAGTGAAATCACAGTGTTACATTTACATTATTACCACTAAATAAAAATGTTTAAAAACTATTGATTAGACAATTTTTTCTTTTCTGAACCTTCAAAAGTTAAAAGGCTGTAATGAAATATCGATATTTTTTTAGTCTCCTGTTTCTACATATAAATACAATACAACAATAAATGATAACAGTACTCATTGACGTTACAGAAATCTAAAGGTTTAGAGTTATATTAATTAGTCACTCAGTAGTAGCCTAATGTAATATTATCTGATCATTTTATTCTGATCAAGGTGTAACAAGATCACTAGTTTAAATGCCTTGATATCATGTATATTATATTGAGATGTTGTTAGGTAGTTACGGATAGACCATTAACACTAACCACTTAATCTAATTGGAACATATTGTTCGACCTAAAAATAAATTTAATAGTTAAATTCATGAGTCAGTTGAACCTAGACCACCTTGGAAAACCTGGAAGTACTGGACAACCGTTTCGTCCCACTACGTGACTCTTCAGCAGTGCGCATCCACGATCCTGCCTCGCAAGATTCGAACCCAAGACCTACCAGCTCTGTACACCAGCATTTAACCACTAGATCACTGAGCCTGTATCCAACGGTGTTAATGTCTAACTTCAACCAATCCACAAATAAATAGCAAAAAATAATGATTTTGATTTCAAATAAAATACATTTGCAAAATTAAAAACCATATCGTTCTTGATTTGAACTTTTTGTTGGTAAGCTTATTTACTTTATGAATGAATGAATTATCATTATTCAAAATTAGATCATGTTTATAAAGTGAAATTATTAAAATGTATCAACTTACTTAAACAGTTAATTTTCTTAAATTTTTCCTAAAGAAATTATATTGTTTTACTGTGAAAATTATTCGATATTTGGCATTTTTATTATTTTTTTCTCTCTTCATTTTATAGAATAAAGAAATAATTATAATTGTAACATGAAAAATATTAAACTATTCAACTATTGGACAGTGAAATGATAAATATGATTAAAGACAACCTGGAATATATAAGATAGATAGATAGACAAACAGACAAATAAATAAATAAAACAACAAAGATAGAGCCATTATAAGCGAATATGGATAGTGGCTAGTAGTGGAATCTAGAATGCGCGTTTTGTTCTATTTTGGACTCGTCAGTTGGATAATTCCTGCATCACAAATTTGATGTTCACTCTAGGACTTGAATTCAGTACCGTTCTCAGGTGCATCCAACTGACGAGTACAAAATAGAACAAAACGCGCGTCCTGGAATCCACTACTAGTCACTATCCATCTCTGCTTAAAAAGCTTGTGACTTAAAGCCATATCAAAACAATCCTCACAGGATGCACATATACCATTAAGTGAATGATGAATTGCAGTCCTAAATAACAATGGGAAGATTCAAGTAAATAATGCCAAGTGAATACAAAGATAGAATATTTCCTTTTTACTTATGGGTGTATAAAGGATTTTGCACATATTTAAATATGTATATCATTATGCAATGTATACAGTGAATTATTTGTTTAAGGATAATAATGAGAAAGAAATTGTTTCCAATGTGATTTTCTGAACAATGAAAAGGGTTTTTATATTAAATAATAAATTCTATGACTTTAAAATGATTTTATCAAGTTTATTTTTCTTTATCTTTAAGATTAACAAGTTCCTGTTTTTAATTAATGATTAAAAGGTTTGATAATATGTTACTTCTAAAGAAAAAAAGGGGAAATATTCTGTTAAAACTCAATATCTTGGAAAAGAGTCATTTATTACAATTACTGAAACGGTGTTTATGGTACAAAATATGTTTATGAATAATACGTTTTGAGCAGGTCGAAAAAAAACACGCATAAATTTAGTTCAACTTTCTGATACTGTTTTAATTGGCAATACCACAATATATAAATTAAGATAATTATGCTAAATGTATTAATTAGAGGTGTAGAAAAGTATTTTTGTTGAATAATAAAAATTCCTTAGAAAACTCTTTACTTTCAGTTATCTCGAATGGTATTATAAAGATGTTGTTAGTACATTATACAGTAATTAATTTTCACTCACTATCGATTTAAATAGATAATCAATAGACTATAATCAATTAGATTTTCATTTATAATAAAGACTTGTTCATCAAGATATGTAAAACACTATAATATTAAAACAAATCGAATAATATAAATACGAGAATTTGTATGAACTCGATTAGTCAGTTAGTGATTATTTGGTTTGATTTTATTAAAACATCCAATCCATGCAAGTAATTGTCCAGCAATTAATTGAGATAAATTACTCAATAAACTCATTCAGAAACAATTTAATGTTTCAATTTGGAAATACGAAACATTCATAATAATTTTTTACCTGAAAATTCAATCAATGTAAGACAATGCCATTCAGTGAAAACTATTTTAATATTATTATTTTGATAATTTTATTTGAGTTTCTCAACAGTGACGTATTGAGATGGTGAAGATTTGTAGCTAAGGTGAATGATTTTGATGTAGTTTTGTTCTCTGAGCTGGACCAAACCATCCAGCTCAGAGAACAAAACTCCATCAAGTGACACATATATTTACATTCAATCATTAAACCCACAGAAAACACCGAAATATCATCATTTATTTTTAATAAAATGATACAAGTAGTTTCATTATCACTATAAATCAACTAAGAATTTTTCTTAATACATAGATGAAACCAATAAATAACATATCATTCAGTTAATAAATAAAAAAAACATGAAAATGTATTTAACATGTAAATAACTCATTGTTAAATATTGATTCTGAAAACAATTTCAGAGTTTTTGAAGTTCCGGCAAAAAATGTTATTGACTAAAAAATATTAATATCAGAAGGGGTTTTGTAGATATTACAGTAATTTTAATGGTTGAGAAATTGAGTCAATTAAATCTCGCGAGATGGGATAGTGGATGCGGACGGCTGAGGAGTCCCACAATAAGACAAAACGACCGTCCAGTGCTTCCAGGTTTTCCATGGTGGTCTAGATCCGATTGACTCAAGATCTCAACCAATAAAATATATTCTAAAAATCTCCTAAATAATAAGCTTTTTTTAAAGACCATTGAAAACAAGGAATTTATCATAAAATTAATTGAAATATTTTCGACCGTCATGTCAAACTAGTTAGCACTATGTACAGTTGTAGTGAACGAGAATACAAGTGGGGATAACTGAATGTATATGAATACAAAATTACAGAACGTCTTAGTAAAATCTGAGAACTATATATTAAATACTTCATTTACAAAATATCGGTCAATTGTCTCAGACGTCATTGTTCCTGCATTTTCAAAACCAATCACTTTCTGTTCACATTCTTTTCTCTTTGATCTTCTCGACATTCTACTGCCAGATATTCTATTCCTGACTCGCGTTATATACTACTTATATCGACAAAAGTAGTACAAATCACACAGTAACCTCACAGAATTTCTTATAATATTGATAGATATTTCAAGTTCAGTATGTTTCATAATTTTATTTAAAAGCATAATTCAAACAATAAAAAAGTAACTGGCTACGTGTTCACCCCATTTAACATGTACAAAAATCACTCAATCAGATAACATTTTTATCATGCACTATAATCCAATATTCTTTAAGACAAATATAAAAACATTTAAAATACCTTCATATTTGTCGGAAATAAATTTACCAAGATCAATAATATGAACTATAGGCTTTTGTTTCTCAATTATTTCTCTATAGTTCAACTTATAACTCATATGTTCTGTCATCAACTATAAACAGAATTTAGAAAAATATAAAAACTAAAAAAAGTTTAACTTGGCATTTTACAAAATTAGAAATTTTTGGTTTCATTCCTATTTCATAAATTATGCATCTTACAAATAGAAAAAAATTATCATTATTATTTTAATGAATATTTACTTATTTTGAGATAAATTTTACAACAAATTTTTTTGTAATCTTTAATGAAGTCACGTAAATTAAATTAAAAATCAAAAAAATAAATTCTTTTCTGGGGAAGGGGAATAAGAAAAATGGAATTTTTAAAATATCAGTATGTTTTAATTGATAATGAAATTAATTTTTAAGTAAATAAGCACTTTCTCATTGATTACTTAAAGAATAATAGAGATTTATAGAAGCACTTGGATTAAACACCTTATAGAGCCTATAATAATGAATAAAATGTCTATTTTAAACAGAGTAAGAACGGAGACTGATGCAGTATAATATGGATTCATTTTATTTCGTCAGGTTCTCATCAGCTGATTACTATCTAAAATATCTGAAAATCAACGTATTTATAGATATTGATGTACTTATACATAAGAGGGTGATCAAAGATAAATAAATGTATCATAATGTTGCTACATCAAGATAATAAGTGGAACCATTTGTATGAAAATGTCTATTGTAATCTAAAAGTACAACGTTGATTTTACATAATTCCCAGTAACAATAACAATTCATTGTGTCACTAAACAATGAATGATGATTGAGCAAAGAAAATTTCATTTCGATGTTATTTTCTCAAGCTGTACAATCATATTTATGATGATTTAACAAATAGTCTATTGAAATGTGGAAAAACCGTTATATAATAAACTCTTGATAATTTTTCAAATACCAGCAGAGAGTTAAAAAGCAGACGAGATAAGAATGATGAAAAAGAAATTAAAATGACGTAAAGGTGGTAATAATAAGTAATTAAAGAACGTAGAAATACACTGTAAGACGTTATAGATGACTAGTTTATCAGATATGAAAAATTAATTGTTAGAACCATAGTAGAATAAGAGTTAGTGTTTTTCCTGCAGAGTTCTGGTTCCAAGCAACACATCGCTAACTTCTCTACCGATCAATCTCTGTAGATGACGTCTAACGATAAACTTGTTGATCTATGATCAGAATTAACAAAATGTTTCCGAATTCGGCTGCCGAATGTTATACTATTTTCTAAAGTCACGCTCATCGTTGCTCGGAGATATATTTAGAGAGAACTTTCTTTGTGCAACCAGCACTATCTGTTCCAAAAAAATAAGTTAACTCATTAATGTTTATTAATGTAACCCAAAAAAAGCGTTTATCTTTAAATTATTCACGAACGATCAAGAGACTGAACAAAACAAAACAAAGCATAACGGTATAAAGTGTTTTTTCTCAAAGATTTCGTAGGTTGGTTTTCTAAACGTATCAAACAGCTTACATTGAAAAATCTCAGATAATTAGTCAATAACAAGATTTCGTTCAGTTACCTATCTAAAAACATATACCAATACGTACAATCTAAGTGAAAGCTCAAAATAACATCTGAAATTCAGATTTTTTTAATAGGAATTCAAATATCTCAAATTATCTATACTTTGTTGAATATATTTTGAGACATAAACATTAGTCAACCTAAAATAAGACATAAGCAAGTTATGATTTTTGTAATACTCAAGTTCCAAGACTTATGTATCAAAGATTTCTAGATATTCAAAGAATTATATATTCACATTTCATTCTCTGCTTTATACTTGTGTTTTGGCCATAAAGCTAAGTATGAAGTAATTAGACAAATGTAAATCTATCCATAAGTCAACAATGTTACTCTTAGAAACATACAACACTGTTCTATAAGTTCCTGTTGATTATTAATAAGAAAAACTAGCTTATTAAACATTGTTTCACTGAAACATAAAGTAATTTTCACACTTCACGCCTGATCTAATCAAGCGTATGATTTTTTTGTTTGAAGAAAGATTTAATTTGTGAACATTTACATGTAATAACGAAAAGCATATGATGAATTATTTGATATAGGGAAAATTAGTTTTGAACTGTCTTTTCCAGTAGTACGGGTAATCTTATAGACAAGCTAATTGTATTCTTTCATTTAGAAGCTCCATCCGATAACCAAATACTTGTGAACCAATCGTCTATTTTCCAG